AGTTCTTAGACCTATATAAGGAGAAATTTTTATTGACGTTACTCGAATAATTCTTTTTATATATGAAATTGTAATAAATTATATTGGTATTCGTGCAATCATACAATTTACGTCGTATCTAAGGGATCTGCCTCGCCACTATCGCATTTATTCGATCTTGATGGCCAGCTTGCCAAAATGGTTGCGTCCCCACTATTCGTTATGTTAGCATTTAATCAAAACATTGGGAGAAGCCACTCACCATGTACTCGTAGGCTTCCCGAGTCTGTTCCAGGGTGAAGACCTTCTCATCCACAACCGGGTGGATGTTGTTGGCCTCAATGGCCCTGACCATGTCGTTCATCATAGCCTTGCTACCAACATAGATACCACGGACAGTACAAATGTGGCTCAAGGTATCGAGAACGTTGGGCATGGACTTGGGGTCAACACCACCGACAAATCCGATGATGCTGATCACACCCTCGAACTTGATGCACTTGAAACTCTCGTTGAGAGTACCGCTGCCTCCGACCTCGATAATGTGGTCGACACCAACGTTGTCGGGAGTCAGCTTGCGGGCCACATCACCCCAGTTGGGCTCCGTCTTGTAGTTGATGACATGGTCGGCACCCAATTCCTTCAGTTTCTTCGCCTTCTCCTCGGACGAGGTAGTAGCAATGACCCTTGCGCCGGCCGCTTTAGCAAACTAGTGAGGTATATGCGTCAGCCTTGGTGTGTTCTACGAGCCCTGGGCATGGGAATATTACCTGCAAAGCGAAAATGCTAACACCTCCGGTTCCCTGTACCAACACAGTCTGACCAGGCTGCAAAGGCTTCAAGCCATACAAAGCATTCCAGCTCGTCAGAGCAGCGCAGGAGAGAGTGCTGGCTTCGAGGTGGTTGAGGTTTTCGGGGCTCTTGACGAGACCGTTCTCGTTGAAGGCACCGTACTGGCGGAGGGTACCGTCAATAACACCACCAAGACCAGAGCTGGCACCGCGGCCATCGATAGGGCCGTACTGGTGTTGCTGGTTGAACAGAGTGACAACCTTGTCACCCTTCTTGAACTGGGTCACCTTGGAGCCAGTCTCGACAACCTCACCGGCACCATCGGAGCCAGGAACAACGGGGAAGTTGAGCGCAAAGGGATATTGGCCCTGTAACAATAACAATTATTTGTCAGGAATACAGCGTAACAGACGGGGAAACAGCTGGCTGACAGCTGAGGATGAGAAACGCACCTTGGGGATGATCAGGTCACGGAAGTTCAACGACGCAGCGTGGAACTTCACCAAAACCTCGTTCTCACCGACTTTCGGGATAGGGGCCTCGCCAAAGGTGAGGCCATCGAAGTCGTTGTCCTTGTTAAGGACGGTCCACTGCTTCTGAGATGTAGCGCCCATTTTTCTGGTGTGTATTTGTTCTGGAAGGTGGAGGTGCAGCGAGTGACAGGTGACAATAGAAACAGAATGCGATCAATCCTTAGAATCCATCTTAGTTGGGAGGTTTGTAGCTTTTTAAAGAGCTCGTGCTCTTGGTTTATTGACGTAAGTGGGCAAGCTCCACTTGAGTGACGGTGGGCTTAATAATAAGGCCACAAGACTTAGTTAAGGGAATGAAGGTTTAGAATATGGAGACCTGAGCTAAACCAGCAAATCAAGGTACGCATAGAGAAGGCAGTTGTTCCCACGATGGTTCTTTTGCTGATAAATCCGTTCTTCCATCATTCTATGCGAGTGGGGCATTGATAGTGGTATGAGTCGTGCCTGAAACCTCCAGAATATAGTATGCTGGGGATCAATTCGCTGCGCCTTCGTTCCTCCATGCTGATGTATTATTGACAATCTGAAATCAGGCAATTCATCATCACCGTGCAGCGAATTTTTCTATCTATAGCAGTAATTGAGCAAAGGCCCTGACTTTCCTCGCCTAGGGAAGATGGTGGAAGATGCATGAATAAGTGAAGCTGGGCGAGGTGGACCATGGGCCCCGCCAGAGAAAGAGCAGACTTTTCCTGTTTGGTGTCGGTCTTCTCCCTTTGGCTTCCCTTACCTTATCGGGATTATCTCGGGGACTGCAATTCGGTCAACTTAGGTACTAGTAAATCAGTCATATATATGTTTGTAGAAGTCAAATGTAGAGTACCACTACTTTTAAAGGTAATATGTTGCACGAGAAAGCCGTCTTACATGTATGCACTAGTATTCGGTGAGTGGCGCGGGGCACGTGGGCGTTGGAGGGACAACCGCTTCCCCGGGTTCGAAGGCCGAGAGGACCTTGGTTTTCAAACGCCGAAAAACCGGCCCGCAAGCCATTGACAGAATAGTTGTAACGTGTTGACAATAATACTAATCATCTATACCAGGCACGGGGTTTTATGCGCATTGTGACCCGAATTCAAGACTATCAGCCCGCAGAAGCAGTACGCGGATAAGCCGAGGGAACTCCGCGCATTCCTAGGCGCTTTACATCGCGATCGATAATACTACGACACCCCATAAACCAGCTTTATCTCCGTTATTTAAGACTCCAGTTACAATCCGGGTAGTTTCTCTCGCTCTGATAACATTCAACAGTCCTTAATTTACGATCATATGATTGCAGTCCCATTCCGGGGATATTTCGGTCATGATAGTTGAGGAACAAGTGACGTAGGCTTCGAGATTGCCGGAAAATTAACTAGTACTTTGTAATAAGCTACGCAGCAGCGCCATCCTGGTGCGAAGTCGCCAGAAGCTTCTCCTTACGACGGTGTTGTAAGTCGGTTCTATAATTCATAAATGATATAGAGGGCTGCCCTCCTGTCAGACTATCAATGATTATACAGAGCGCAATGGTCAACCGGTCTATTATTGTAGTAGTCCAGACCACATGTTTGTTCTAAAAGGATTGACATATTACTCTAGTAGTTCTTATTACTGTATCTGTGGCATGAATATTGGAATTCTTTCCGCGTTAGATAGTATAGATCAGGCTGTCCAGCCATTTATCTGGCGAAACCAAGCGGGACCTAAAGCATCGCGCAATCACCCAACAGGATGAGTTGACAATAGACACGGCTAAATTGCACCATCCATCACTCAACCAGTGGATTCCATAGGCTCGGTGCTTAACATGATTTGATATCGCATTGCGCGGACGGGATCGACGGTTGAATGAGGGGTAATCTGTTATCCCCTCACTCCTGACCATGGCGCTCTCTCTTCCCCTTGAACTTTACATTCGTGGCCTCTGTTCACTTACACAAACATCACATCTCCCCCAATACACCACACTCTTGTCTATAGCAATATGTCTTTGGGACGTACCTTCAAACTTAACTCGGGATATGAGATCCCCGCCGTGGGTTTAGGGACATGGGTATGCGAAGCAAACGAGAGATTCAACTCATCGCAAACTGACAGTCCCAGTTATCCAAGCCCCACGAGGTAGAGAACGCGGTTGAGGCAGCTCTGCGCTCTGGATATCGTCACATCGATGCCGCTGCTATCTATCAGAACGAAACAGAAGTCGGAGATGGCTGGAAGAAATCAGGAGTGCCGCGCGAGGAAATCTTTGTCTGTACCCATGTCGCATTCCTATTGTCATGCACACTTCAACTAACAGCTTCATTTCATGGCCTTCCAGATCACCAGCAAGCTATGGAATACCCACCATCACCCCGAAAATGTAGAAGAGGCCGTCAACAAGACCCTCAAGGATCTCCAGACCGACTATCTCGATCTATACTTGGTACGTCAGTATCTATACTCCTCCCCAGATCCTACTGACAACCCCAGATCCACTGGCCCGTGGCATTCATCCACCAGAACTCTTTCCAGCCTCCCCTAGACCCGGTGACAAAACGCTTCCGGCTGGCAGACGTTCCGATCTCTGAAACCTGGAAAGCCATGGAGGACCTAGTCCGAAAGGGCAAGGTTCGCAGTATCGGTGTGAGCAACTTCACTGTCGAGAAGGTAGAGGAGCTGCTCAAGACCGCGACCATCCCGCCTGCTGCGAACCAAATCGAGGCCCACCCGTACCTACTCCAGCCCAAGCTCACTGAGTACCTGAAGGAGAAGGTAAGCACCGTTTTGGTGACGGCTGAAGTGATGGCTTTGCTGACAGAGATAAACTAGAACATCCTTCCTGTCGCATACAGCCCTCTGGGGAACAACATCTACGAGCTACCTCGGTAAGTATCAACGATACGTTATCTTCATCGCGCGCTAATCCATACGCAGTGTCATCGACGACCCCCAGGTCCAAGAAATCGCGAAGAAACTGGAAAAGGAGCCCGCTCAATTGTTGATCTCATGGGCTGTTCAGCGCGGCACGGCCGTCTTGCCAAAGAGTGTTACCCCGTCCCGGATTGAGAGTAACTTCCAAGGTAGTTCTTGTATACTTTCTTCTGTGTCGCGATTTATTAACGATAGTAGACTTCATCATCCCCGACGCCGAATTCGAGGCCCTGAACAAACTTGATCGCAACACGCGCTACAACTACCCCTTCCGCTGGGGAATTGACATTTTCGGGGAACTGGGAGCTGAAGAGGCTGAGAGACGGGCTGAGGAGTTTGCGGCGAAGTTGAGAGCTGAGGAAGCTTAGATATCTGTATCCTACCATGTAGTACAACTGCTCAGATCTGTCCGCCACCATCTCAATATATATTTAGCTCGCAGCTAGTATCATGATGAACACAACAACCACAAAAATTTTAACAAAAACAAACCGTATCCAGTATTCTTAATTCATGTGATAATTCCATAGAACCCATAAAAAGCAACGTACCCTCCACCATGCACAACACACCCATGCATGCATGCATGTACAACAGTCCATCCCGGCACCAACGCCCTGCCGTGGGAAACGGTCAACGGAAATCCCGCACATCAGCCAATCACCTCAGCCACACGACACATCAATTCTTCAACACCCAGCGAAGCATTAATACCAAGACACATCTCCCTTAGAATTATAAACAAAGAGAAACACGAAACACTTATATATCAAAAACGCACATAAAGCGAGCGCGAAAATGTCATCATCCGTCCAAGCAGGCCGAGTTACCAAGAAGAACACTACTACTACCGCGCGGCGGAGACGCGTACAACACCCGAAGAAGACACGAGCTAGTACTAAGTCCCAACCACATGATCATGAGTATGAGCGCGATGGGAGTCAATGTACGTTGGATAAAAATATATGATAAAAATATCCTATAACATAACAAGAGTATGATACTAATCACATCGCAGACAACCCAACACCATCATCATCACTCCCGCTCGTCGAGCGCACCAACAAACTCAGCATCCAAATATTCACTTCAGAATACATCACCCCAGAGTTTCTGACATACACCTACAAACCCGAAACCCCATCATCAACTGACGAGCAGAGGTATAAACTTTCCATCCACTCCGCAGCCAGCATCCCCACCAGCGACCTAAATGCATGCTTCGATCTCATCGAGGAGACATCCTCAGAAGCATACAGGAATTCCTCAACGGGGTGGTCTCCAAGTAAGAAGAAGAAGGAGATGAAGCTTCCGGATATGAAGTATTTGGTTGTTCGTCGGGAAGAGTTAACACCAAGTGATGGTGAAGGGGATGTGGTCGGATTCATGTCATTCATGATTACATATGAAGATGGGAAAGAGGTGGTGTATCTCTACGAGATCCATTTGTCGTCTGAGGTGCAGAAGCAAGGGCTTGGGAAGCGGCTACTGCTTGTGCTGATGGAGATAGGGAGACGGGTTGGGGTGGAGAAGGCGATGTTGACGGTGTTTACGTCGAATGGGGTGGCTCAGAGGCTTTATGAGGCTATTGGGTTTGATACGGATGAGTATAGTCCTCGGCCGAGGAGGTTGAGGAATGGGATGGTTAAGGAGCCGGATTATAGGATTATGTCTGTTAGGTTGGATGGGGGGCCGTATGTATGATCTATTGAACATTTGATTCTTTGGATGGATGCTATGGTGTGGGTATGTATAGTAAAGTACAGTTAAATTTGAACTTAAACTTGTCGCACTTCTTTGCCGCGCAACTCGGGGTTGTCGTGTTCCCATTCGTCGCGGAGGGCGGCGAAGATGGTGTCGGCTAGTAATATCGATAGACCGAGACTCCATACAAGAGTGATGGCGTAGAAGAAGTTGGCGTTTCCGGAGCCGGCGTAGATCCAGAGATGGTAGAATGCGGGTCCTAGGAGAGTGGCGTAGAGGAGGGCGGAGATTGCGAAAAAGGTGTATCGCATTACTAAACAGTTTTAGCACATGTCAATAGATGCAGTGGGGGATATGCTTACGAGGGAAGAGGTGGCGGTAAAGTGGGAGCAGAGCGAAGTATAATGATGCGTCGGAAATGCTGGGATACGGTTTGAAAATGGCAAAAATGCCCAAAAGGGATGTCAGCACGAACAAAGGCTGCCGGCGCAGTCGCACAGTAAGGCCGCCCATGTACGCAGCCAAGTGAAGCCAGAACACCCCAAGGAAGAACTCTCGGAAAGAGTCGAACATTTCGATGAAGAAGTACCACCATAGGCCAACGTTGGGGGTCAGGTCAGGCACGAGCAACTGGAAGCCATATGTCGCGGAGATGAAAGTGTAAAAGTCGCCAATCAACAAGGTAGATATGCCAAGCAGTCCCAGAATGCATGTGAGGAAGACTGCGAAGTGTTGCAGAGCGAACGGTAGGGTACCGGAGGAAACCTTGGTCTTCTGGACTCGCTGGTCATAGCATAGAAGAACAAGCGGGATGAAGAGAAGTGCTGGATATATCGACAGGTACGATGCCAGCCCCAGAGACAGCATTGCATTCAGACTGTTTCCGGTGACAGCGCTCGAAAAGGCGTATAGGATTCCAGTCGTAGTAAACACCCCGGTCGACCGGCCCAAGCAGGTAGCGATGGTGAAGGGATTGAACAGGAACCTGACAAGGTCAGCACCAAGAAACACAAAGTATTGATATCCGCCATTTACCATGCCGCAATAGACACTCCATCCCATCTGATATGCTTTCGCAATGCCGAATAGAATCTCCCCGATACCGCCTGTCCAGAATCCGAGATCGTAACCAGAGCATTTGCGTTCACCAGGTCTATCATCGAATAGAATAACGCAGTAGGAAGAGGATGGGATTGCGCGTTCGGTAGGAGGGAAAATAGAGGAAGAAGTAGCGGTGCCTGAGCTCTGTTAGGAGGGTTCACTCGAATGTATAGTCGTCGGTTATACCTGGTGGAAGACGCCTCCGTCATAGGGGGAAACATTGCGCATGTACAGGAAAAGACCCTCTTGCACTATACGAGCGAGTATTAGCTTCCAGTAATCTCAAGACTGCTACCTCTGACTTACATCTCTTGAAGCTGGTCACCGGTGTTGATACCTCGACTCTACCCGTCAACAAGTCGGGGAGTGAGGGGAATAGTACTGAGAGAAGAAGTCGCAGGGCCAGAGCACCACCGAACACGGCGGCTTTCCTATGATCTACCCCCATACTGACTTCAAGGAAGCTGATCACTCAGCGCATGCCCGTATTGATCAAGAGACGGCCTATGCAACGGCCGTGAAACGATTGGGGGAGTTGGAGGCCGCGGATCTCCAGCTGTCCGGTTGGCTTCACGTGCCAAGACTCCGCGCATTTCCCTTTTCCGCCGTGCACGGACCACTCCGAGCTGCTGATCCAGAAAAGTAAAAGAAAAAAAACTTATCGAGATTTTTCTGGTTATCGGGATTTTCTCCAATCTTCAACCCCCAACACTTGCACCAGAACAGTCGCAAACATGGCTAAAATTAAGAAGAAGGGTACTTACACTCCTAATTTTCATGCGACAATTTCATGCTAACAATCTCTTTTCTTCAGGAACCTCTGGCCAGGCCAAAAACTACATTACCAGAACCCAGGCCGTGCGCAAACTTCAGATTTCCCTCCCCGACTTCCGTCGACTATGTATCTTCAAGGGTATGCATATCCTTTTGATGGATTGAGGACTTAGGTCATATACATGGTGCTGATTCGTTCTTCGTCGCAAAACAGGAATTTACCCCCGTGAGCCCCGGAACAAGAAGAAGGCCTCCAAGACTTCCACTCCCAACACCACTTTCTACTACACGAAAGATATTCAGTTCCTCCTCCATGAGCCCCTCCTGAGGAAGTTCCGTGACCAAAAGGCGCTTGCGAAGAAGATTGCCCGCTCCCTTGGACGTGGTGAAGTCTCTGATGCGTCCCGTTTGGAGAAGAACCATGCGCCGAAGCTCACCTTGGACCATATCATCAAGGAGCGCTACCCGACATTCATTGACGCTCTGAGAGATCTCGACGATGCCTTGTCTCTGCTGTTCCTCTTTGCCAACCTCCCCTCTTCTCCCCATGTCCCAGCCAAGACCATCGCTCTCTGCCAGCGGGTTACCCACGAGTTCCAGCACTACCTGATCACCACGAACTCTCTGCGCAAATCTTTCCTGTCGATCAAGGGTATCTACTACCAGGCGACTATCCAGGGACAGGACATCATGTGGCTTGTGCCCTACCGCTTTGTGCAGCGTGTCAATGGCGACGTCGACTACCGTATCATGGCCACTTTCGTCGACTTCTACACGACTCTGCTCGGATTCGTCAACTACCGTCTTTACTCGACTCTTGGTCTTCGCTATCCCCCCAAGTTCGACAAGAGGAGCGATGAGAATGGTGCTGAGTTGGCGGCCTTCACTCTGGAGGGTCGCACCGTCGGCGAAGCCCCCAAGGCTCTCGAAGCCAACAAGCAGGCGAGCAAGCCTTCCAACCAGGAAGTCTCCAAGGAGGTTCAGGCCAAGGTCGACAAGGTCATCAAGACCGCAGGCTTGGATCAGACCAGAGACGAGCAGGTTACCGAGACAACCGAAGAAGCTTCCGAGGCTATCGACAAGTTCGAGCCTACTGCCCCCGAGGCCGACACTCTTCCCCAGCCCGACTTGAGCGGAGATGAGGCTGGTTCTCTGTTCGCACCTTTCGTTTTCTACGTTTCCCGTGAGGCCCCCAAGGCGCCCCTGGAGTTCATCCTTCGCTCCTTCGGCTGCACCAGGATTGGATGGGACGCTGTCCTCGGTGACGGAGCTTTCACCCACGATGAGACGGATACTCGCATCACCCACCAGATTGTCGATCGCCCTTCTTTGCCTGAGTCTTCGCTGCCCGCTATCCCTGCTGCTTCGACAGACGGTGCTGCTCAGAAGGTCAGACCGGGAACCCGCATTCCCGGCAGAACCTATGTCCAGCCCCAATGGGTGTGGGACTGCATCAACGAGGGCAAGCTCCTTCGTGCTGATCTGTACGCCCCGGGTGCCACTCTTCCCCCTCACCTGAGCCCGTGGGTCAAGCCTTCCAAGGGTGGCTATGACCCCCGCGCCAGCTTGGCCGAGCAGGAGGAGGAAGGTGAGGCAGAGCTGGACGAAGACAGCGACGAAGAGATGGAGGAGGCCACTGATGAGAAGAAGGCCGAGACCAAGGAAGAGGAGTCCGAGGCTGAAAGCGAGGAAGAGTCCGATATCAACGGTGGCATGGATGTCGCTGAGACTGATGAGGACGAGAGCGAGAGCGAGGAAGAGGACGAGGACTTCGGCGGCTTCGAGGACAACGAGGCCGCCTCCGAGTCTGAGGATGAAGAGGAGGCCGCCCGGACACAGCACCAGAAGGAGCTGGAGGCTGAAGCTGCTGGCCTTCCTTTCTCGTCTGGTGGTGGTGCTGGCGAAGCAGCCAAGAAGAAGTCCGCTCAGGCCAAGAAGATCGCCTCCAAGAAGCGCAAGGAGGAGGAAGAGCTGGAGAGACAGAAGATGATGATGAGCCGGAAGAAGCGCAAGCTCCTCGAGAAGATGATGTACTCGAACAAGCAGAAGTCTGAAGAGGCTGCCAAGCTGCGGTCTAAGCGGAGAAAGCTCGAGAAGGAGGGCCAGAAATGAAGTTAGGCACATAAAAGTTGGCTTTTCTGTGACAATAGAATGATATCCTGCTGGGATTTGGAAGCATTCCTATATTGGCGTCTTGATTCTTTGTATTTATCATAGCATTCAGTTAGAGTGTTGTCTAATAAGTATACACGTCTACCGTCTGACCAAAATTGTCTTTTGTCTGATCCCTGCTGGTTATAGTATTACGAAGAGCCATGTATAGGTCCAATATGAGTTTATTCTTCGGAAGTTTAGATAGGAATTAAATTGGAGTTATGTATGGGCTCCAAGGAGATACAGCAAATGTACATTAGACTTCGTGTTGATAGATTAGTGATAGTTGCCATTTCGGCTGAGCCGAGCTGCCTCCCATGCCAACATAACATTTTCCAAGAACTTTGCCGCTGAGAGGCTCAACTTTGACTCTCCATTCTGCGATCTTTCTGAGTTTGGCTACTTAGGCGGCCAGCTGCCCAAGGTCTACGAGCTCAGCCCAAACAATTCCGCCCCAGTATACCTCCCCGATGAGAGCTTTAGCGAGTTCCATCGTATCATAAGCGGTCACAGCAATGCGTCATCTGATTTCCTCGCCCAGCAAGGACACTCTTTGAGTCTATGGGAAAGCGGTCAACGACAAATTCGATCAGTATGCTGTTGCGTAACAGTGCTGGGGGAGGAGACACGTTTGCGGTTAAGGCGAATCACAAAGTCTGTCACACAGGGAGTCATTCGCCATGGCATTATGCTGGTGTCTATTGGATTACTGAGGCCTATATCACTTTCTGGAAGAGCACTGCCTGCAACGGGCACAAGGGTAGCTTCAACCCGGTCTGCGATTATTACGATGATCCTTCAGAAGTCTGCATCTTTAACTTCCATCCCAACTCTTTTCGTGTTTACTCTGGCTGTCACCATAGTTATGGCTGGGGTAAGGGGTGTTCGTCGCATACTCTATGAGGGCACTCGGGGGCATGCCTTGTACAACAAGGGAATTGTGCTCTGACCACGAAATATCTGGTTTTACTGTTCTCTATATTTTCTTCTTTTTTCTCTTTCCTGTCTGAAATAAGCCTGTATTATCGAGTCGCTCTACTAGAACAAGGAAGCGAGCCATTGGGAATCCATCAAGTCATACCCATTGCATTATTGGCACTGGCCGATTTGCAAAGAGGCTTGTATTTCATTTCACGCAAATATGACGCGTCCTTTTATAGCCCACCCAGTGCCCCATATGATTAAAATACCCCGTTCTAGGAGTAAATTATTCTAAGGCCCAAACGTTGGTGGTCTTTCACTACAAAGCTAGACGCCCTGGAGCTCATCCGAGTGTAAGATATTATATGGAGTATATTATCCGTCAGACTACTCTGGCTGCTGATTGGCGCGCCAGACCTCGTACTAACTAAGCTTTGCACCGGCCAGGAGCAAAGGCAATTAGTAGTCGAACTAGTGGGGATTAGCATGTCAATTATCAAGATGGTGGGTGCCCGATGTGCCGCTGAGTCATGAGTAGAGCGATGAATTAACTAGTTAGTTATAACTAGTTTACTATCGTCTCTGCCTTCTTCCAAAATTCACCCGCGAATTTCTGGTCTGCCCCGTATTCTACTTTCCTCTTTGGCCCAAAGGAGTCTTTCACAGTATGACGTCCGAGTCATCATTCAGCAGCTCTTCAGAACACACGGGGGATCCTATATCCTGTGAAGAGAATGACAATGAAATGGACGAACGAAAATTTCTTAAGAATTGGACATATTGCATCCGTTCGGATTTTGCTTCATTGTCTGGTGTACCGGCCACTTGGGAGAATGGCTATCCAAAACACTGGGGTCAGGAAGAAGCGAAGATCTTTCTCGACGGGGAGGCGACCACCACCCCTGCCATAAGTCCAGATAATCAGATAATTGCAATAGGAATTGCAAATCAAATTCACTTATTCCGTGTGAACACCAAGGAGCGAGTCGATGTGTTACATGGACATCCTGGGGAAGTAGTTACTGTCGCCTTTGCACCCAGCCTAGATAAAAACTTGATCGACAAGCCGGATGCCCCACGTTATTTGTTATCATCACAGAGTGAAGAAGAAGGTGGAGGAAACGGGTACATTATAGTATGGGAGCTTGATCAGTATGGCATGAAAATGCCCTCCTCGAAAGAGGAACAAGAACAACAATTCATGCACTGTTTCCCCGGCGAATTGAGCTCATTCGGGGGGGCAGTCTTCAGTCCTGACGGTAAAACGATGATATACATCGTCCAAAACGTTACAATTGACTATTATACTGGGAATTGCCGTTACTCCCCCTGTGTTATTCTCTGGGATGTGGATAGCCGATTAATTCGACATCAGCTCCAAGGTCACACAGACATTGTAATGTGGATCAGCATCAGCCCAGATAACTCCCTTGCTGCTTCCATATCGTGGGATGGCACCGCGCGGATCTGGGATATTCTCTCCGGCAAATCCCTTCATATTATTGGACCCTTGGGCGGCCAACTTTGGTGCGGTGCCTTCTCCCCAGACTCTAAATATTTAGCTGTCAGCCAGGGAGGTCATGATCTTATTCATATTTACAACATCCCCACGGCACAGCCAGTCTCATGTATCAAATTACCTACATGGTCGCGCTCCATGGCCTGGAGTCCAGATGGGAGATTTTTGGCTGGTGGGCTTCAGATTGGTGCACTTTGCCTGTGGGACCCTTATACAGGAATGGAGAAACAGAGATGGTCTCTGCATTTTGATGATTTTATGATGCAGGAATACGCAACTATTGGAGGCGTACAGTTTATCGGCGATAAGTTGATCTTCCGGATACTTGAGGGAACGGTTGAGATATATAATCTGGCTACGAATCTCAAGCAGCAGTTTACACGGGGACCAGATACTAAGATCAGCAGGTGTCCACGCGGGGAAATGGTCTGCTCGAGGGATTCCAAGCTGCTTATTATCCCAGATTCTGACGGAACCTTACGTTTCTGGAGACTATAAATGATAGACAAATACGAAAGCCATATGCTGTTTAAAGTTATCCATTTTCGAGAGGTGGGCACCTCAATGTGTAGAATGTTTACATCAATATATCATCATCCTAGTAGCATGAGGCAATCCTCAAATGCTTTAGAAACATAAAAACTCACGGTCGAATCTAACGTGTAATTTGTTCTCAATGTATTGGCTTTGATGGATATATTCATGCGCATACACGAGGCCATGGTTCTTTCGAAGTGGATCCCTATCAGACTGTCTGTTGTCTTGTAATTCTGTTGTTTTAGTTGTTCGCATCATATCCTTCGATAGGATTACCGAGACCATTTATCTTCAAGTACGTAACCAAGGATGAACGATATACGGACTGAAAGTCACTCTCTTTCCGACGTATATGTTTTCACTATTATGGTATTAGCCTGCTGCCCTCTGGGCATTGTCATGATGTTGATTTGCCACAACATCTTGGAGCCATCTCACAACTGCAAAATTAGCCCAAAAGCACACTAATCAAAATTTTGTACGCCGGCAATATCTCTAATGTCCATTGCAAGTGCATGATGCCGTTCTGGTCTGGCTAAATTTGTTGTAATATGAGGCTGGTGCAGATCAGGAACCAAGCCGAACCACTGAAAATTAATCCCGAACATTATTACAGTTCACGTACTACCACATGCGACTAACCATACTTACGCAGCAACTAAACACATCCTATATTATTTAGACCATTCTCATCTCTTGGCGCCATATGATTCAGCGTGTTAGTAAAAAGAAAGCAGTGGACACATCGTGATGCCCAGTAGACATGTATCAAGTCACGTGCATCCGACTTTTTCGTCGTGATCCGCACCATTCAATAAATTTTCCATCAACAATCCCGATTCCTTTCCTTTTAAGTGTACGATTCATATATGATTCTACTGGCTCTATGTATAGTCAAATGCAATAGATTGGCATCTTTAATTCTCCGAAGATAAGCTTGCAGCCACACCGCCAACATTGATGATCATCAACCGAACGACCATCTAGATAGTCGCTATCTAGCCGGATTTGCTGCATATGGGCCTGAACTCAAAAGCCTCTATTTTACCGCTCTATGTACTCAAAACCAAGCCATCTACTCTATAAACGCCAACTCTGAGGCATGTCCTCGCTTTCAGGCGCGCGCTTTAGCCCGCCGCAGTCAGCGCAACCGTACAGGTCCATCTTCGGAGGTCCGAGCAGCCAAGATGTTGCCGATCTGGTACCCTACCCAGAAACCCAAACTGGGTCAGGAGATAGCCAGCAAGATCTTGATGTGATTATGGAAGAGGAGCCGATCGATAATGATCACTCGGATGCTACGTACGTTGAGAGCAATGACGAACAATCTGGTTCAGATGCGGATAGCTATGCATCGGCACCTCAGTCACCTGAGAATCAGCGACGGCGGCGGGAGCAGAAGCAGCCACTTCAAAAAATTACTGTGCATGATCACCAGCGTGATTCAGAGACCCCTCCGGCGCATTCGTACCGTCCCAACAGATTCCGCGGGCCTGAGTCTACATGGAGAAGATTGACTGCCGAAGAGAGGCAGAACGCTCAAGCTCTGGAAGACATTCGTGCTCGGGATCTATCTGCTCACTTGTACAATGCTTATGCGCTCCGTGTCCGGGCACGGGAGATCGCGAGACGGGCAACTGAGACAAATGACCAACTGCTGGATGAGATGGATACATTTGCTCCTCCGAAGCGCTGGACAGCATGGCCTCTACCTTCGGCCGAGGTGCCTAGACCGGATGAGGAAGTACGGAAAAGTCTCGATGATGCTTGGACGCTGAGAATGCAGCCAGATCCTCGACCGAGTGCCGAATTAGAGGAATCGGTTATGGCGTTCATGTTACGAACAGCCAAAGAGAGGTTTATGGCTAGGGAATGGGATTATGAGTCGAAGCCATTTACATCACATCGAAGAAAAAGATCAGCATCTCAACACGAGACGCAGGACGAAAGTACCGCATGGGAAAGCGAGCGTGAGGGTGCGGATGGCGTTCCACTACGCCCTACTGTCCAGACGGACGACGATAAATCAAGACGACAACTACGCCCACTCACTCGGAATATACTCTCGCGGTTTGATGATCTTCTCCTGGGCCTTCATCGTGCCCGTAAGGGCGGAGTGGCAGCGGATGACAGCTCCGCAAGTGACTGGCAGACCGACACTGAGAGTGTGATGTCTGGCTCATCACCTCGTAAGAGAAAAGTCAATTCTCAAAGAGATAGAAGTCTGTCGAGAGGAAGAAAACGAACCCGACGGTCATCTTTCAAGAGCGGATCGAGCGATGCTCGTTCTCGTAGTACGCATATATCAAGCGAACCGGAGTCAAGTGTATATAGCTCCTCTCAAGCAACTTCACGGCACAGATCACAGTCACAACACTCTTCCCGCTCACGGGGCCGCTCGGTCGGTAGCGATCGTCGACGTTCCGCGAGTCGTATTCGCCTCGGGATACGGGATTGGAGCGAGGTGCTGGGTGTCGCGTCCATGATAGGCTGGCCACCAGCCGTGGTGATGCGAACAGCACAGAGGTGCTCAGCCTTGTTTGGAGAAGATATGGCTTTCCAGGTGCTTAAAGAAGGGAAAATCAAGCAAGATATACGAGACGATACCAAGATCTGGAAATACGAAGAAAGCGAATCGGAACCAGAAGTTGAGACAGATCTCGAGCCCGAATCTGAGGCCGAGGCTGACATCTCACAACCATCTCGGTCTCAGAGCAGGCGGCCACGCTCTCGTGCCGCTTCCACCAAGGGAGGCTCGACATCGCGAGCCAACAGCACGGCGCCTGAAGACACTGGGGATGGGTCTCGACCGAAAGGAAAAGGGGAGCATCGCAAGCAGGATTTGATCTGTCCTATCCGGGCGTGCTCCAGGCATGGCAAGGGCTTCTCGCGGACATGGAATCTCAATCTGCATATGAAACGCATGCATCCGAATTACCGTTCCAAAAGCGAGGGCAGGTCCTCGACAGGCACGCGTGGTGAAGATGACATTGATAATGAGTGATATCTTATTGATCTAATACTTTGTGGCCAACTGCCCAATGTGTATACTTTTCAAAGAAATGACTCCCAATTGGTCTTGTATAGATCGGTGATGCGCATTGTATATGTCGTAATATAATGGTATTACAGTTACAGGTACCGGAAGACTAGTGTTCTCCTATTGGTGCAATCCCCGGAGCTCCCATGTCGGCATTCATTGATTGGCCACTATCACCGAGGCCAGGGATAGCATATCGATATGGTATTCCAATTACGCGGATGTAATATATCGAGATACAGGCGCAACAAAAGCCAGCTATGGCCTCAAATGCCTTCAATATAGCTTTGATACTTTGCAGGACTCAAGTTTATTGACCATACAGTACTCTAACCTTTCTGAACCTGACAGCAACCCTGCATTGTCGTGGCGGCGCAACCGAAAGCTCCGAATGACGTCTACCCACGTGACCGGCAGCTCCCCCGCTTGAAGGCCGCCGGTAAGATTCACGGCGCATTGCCATTGCCAGAATCCACTGCTAGTTCCGAGAATAAATAGCTGGTCTTGTCCGGAATTGACTGGAATTTCCTCTAGATCTCTATTCAAAAGCCGACTGCTGAAAGTGGTGGTACACCGACCCAAAAACACGACTCCCTCTCAGACAAACCGAGGTCTCCCCGCACCGAACTTCGGAACGAAGAGCGAGAGAGCAGCAGCTGGACATCTGCTCGTCCACACGACCCACTGGGTGTGATTGCGATTTATTTTCAGTACTTCAGTCATGGAGAGATTTATTCGTCCAGTTTCCCGGCAGCTCTTGAGACCGCGCCTTCGTTATCCTTTTGCCATTCCTGCTCCTATCCACACTAAACGCCTAGTTTCCACCATGGGTTACAACGTTCCTCAGGTTCGTGCTTGTACAATTCGTCTCTCACCTACGAGAACCAATTGCTGATTGAGCGGTCATAATGTAGCTCAAAGATCAATCCCTCTTCATTCAAAAGGCATACGTCAATGGCGAGTGGGTAGACGCTCAATCCGGACAGACCTTCGAAGTCCACGGTAGGCCATATACCTTTCACCACCAAGCACAACGACCAGCTATACTCATCACAGAATCACCTCTACAGACCCTGCCTCCGGAAAGCTCATCGGAACATGTCCCGAATTCTCCGCTGCAGACACCGAGAAGGCTATCCAAGCCGCCAAAGAAGCCTTTCCCAAGTTCCGCACAACGCTGTCCCGCGAGCGCGCCCGCATGCTGCGCAGATGGTACCAGCTCATGATCGACAACGCCGACGACCTAGCAACCCTGATAACCTGGGAAAACGGAAAGCCCCTCGCCGACGCCAAAGGCGAGGTGAACTACGCGGCCAGCTTCTTCGAATGGTTCAGCGAAGAAGCTCCCCGCATCTACGGTGATACCATCCCCTCCTCCGTGCCCGGAAACCGGGTCATGACCCTGAAGCAACCCGTCGGTGTCTGCGGTCTCATCACACCCTGGAACTTCCCTGCTGCCATGATCACCAGAAAGATCGGCCCTGCCCTCGCAGCCGGCTGCACTGTCGTCGCAAAGACCCCCGGTGAGACGCCCTTCACGGCTAACGCCCTCGCCGAGCTGGCCCACCGCGCCGGTATCCCCAAGGGTGTCGTCAACATCGTCACCGCATCCCAGAACACCCCCGAGGTTGGCGAGGCCATCACCACCCACCCCGAGGTCCGCAAGGTCTCCTTCACCGGCTCCACCAACGTCGGGAAGCTCCTCATGAAGCAGTCTTCCTCGACCATCAAGAAGGTCTCCTGGGAGCTCGGCGGCAACGCCCCCTTCATCGTCTTCGACGACGTCGAGGACCTTGACGCTGCCGTCGCCGGCGCTGTGGCCTCCAAGTTCCGTAGCTCCGGACAGACCTGCGTGTGCGCGAACCGCATCTACGTGCAGCGCGGCATCTACGATGAATTTGCCAAGCGCTTCGCCGAGAAGGTCAAGGACTTCAAGCTGGGTGCGGGCTTCGAAGAAGGCGTTACCCACGGTCCGGTTATTCACGATCGCGCCGTCAACAAGGTCGACGAACACGTCCGCGACGCTGTGTCCAAGGGCGCAAAGGTCCTGACGGGTGGTCAGAAGGCCGCTCACCTTGGTCCTAACTTCTACGACTTGACCGTCCTCACGGAGATGAACAAGGATATGCTCGTCGCTTCAGAGGAGACTTTCGGCCCTGTGGCGGGTCTTTTCCCCTTCGAGACAGAAAAGGAGGTCGTTGACCTGGCTAACAAGGCTGAGGTCGGTCTGGCCGGGTACTTTTTCAGCAGTAATGTCAAGCGCATCTTCCGCGTTGCGGAGGCGCTGGAGGTCGGTATGGTTGGTGTGAACACGGGACTTATTAGTGATGTTGCTTCGCCGTGAGTATACCCTTGCTTACTTTGAGTTGTTGGATGTTGCATGCTAACTGGATTGATTGAATAGATTCGGCGGTGTCAAGCAGAGTGGCTTTGGTCGCGAAGGCAGCAAGTACGGCATTGATGAGTTCCTGGTGGTCAAGAGTGTTACTTTTGGAGGAATTGATCCTCTTCAGTAGATTATGGGTATGTAAATTGGGATATTAGATTGGTTGGTTGGGGTATTGGGATTGGGTGTTGTTCAAACTATGCTACTTTTATATATTTATGGAGCCATGACTGAATGTATCATTTCAACTTTCACTTACCCACCAAAACAACATGAATAGTAGACTACTATACAACACTCTACACATGTCATCTCAACCTCTCATAACCATCATGTACCCCTTTCCTCAAATGTGATCATTACATGAACTGAGAGTGGTTAAGCCAACCCCCCACACCTCCCCCCCATCCTAAAATTCTCCGCCGTCGAAGTATTCCACCTCCACCAAAACTGCAAATCCTGCTTATCATCCTCAGGAACCTCACATTCACTCACATAACTCGGCAAGCTTCCCACAACATCCGCGTACTCGTCCAACGGACACGAATACCCCGGTCCACTCTGACAGTTCTCCAACGGCACAACCGCCTCATTGAGGACCAGTCGGACAAAGATCCCGCCCGGCGCGAGGGCAGAATCAGTGCAGTTCATGCGCTCGATGGTGAGACGCCCACCCATGGGGACTATGTCTTGGACGGACCAAGCGGATGGAGGGAAGGGGATGCGGGTTTTGTTGAGCGGGGTGGTGGGCGTGGCGATGCCGAGGGCGGTTATTATCGGGGTTATGTTGCTGTCGTGGGCACTGTTTGGATTTACTGTTAGTAGGGGGGAAGGGGGATGGGGAGGGGGCAATAGGGGGAGGGGGATGTACAAGTTGAAGAAGAGAGGCCCGGATGAGGAGGGGCCTTGTTGGAGGAGAGTGAGGGTTGCGTTTAGGTAGAGGGCGCCGAGGGCGCGGGTGTATTTGTTGCCGGGGCTGTTGGTGTCAGTCTTATAGGTACTGGGTGGGTACTGGATGATGGTATTGGGGTGATGTGGTTGGGAGACATACCCTGCACAGTAGTAGAAGTTGACGTTCCAGAGATGGGCGAAGCTGATCCATTCGTCTGTAGTGAAGACGTCGATCCAGGGGGATGAGGAGCGCGTGTTGAGCTCGTAGGCGGTCATTACTGCTCATTATTAATGTGTGCACGACTGAATAGGTGATGATAAGGTCGGTATTTACGTATAAGTGAGTATACGTCAGTCCAGTTCAGGTTGAGACCCTGATACTGAGCGTTCAGTCTGTCCGCAGCGACATCGAACTGAGGCAGATAGTACGGCATGTCGCCGCAGATGCTTTGTGCATCATCGTCCTGTACATGACATGTTGGTGTCAGACTATCTGCGCCCTGGCTGTCAGATTCAGAGATGATATTGAGCGCTGCCTTGGTCGCGTAGCTATCATTCCCGAGAAATCCTTGTCCGAAGTTCTGCGCTGTGCTGATAATTCGTTGGAAGTCGGCGGTGAATAACGGGAGAATAGTCGACTCGTTATAAAGATTTCCATAGCGTTGGCGGTACGCCTTGCCATGGTTGTATGCGTCTGTCAGTCCTGCATAGGGCCCCGTCGAGGTCTCCGCCTCGTAGCAGTCGGATGGGACGAAGTAGGTCCAATTCTCCAGGAATGCTAAATCGCCGCTGCTGTAGTTACCTGCGATGGAGTCGTTGACTTTCTTCAGGGCCTGTTCAATAGAAGTCCCTTCGCCTGATGTGGGATATCGTTCACCGTGTCGTTTGACCATGATAACTTGGTCAACGGAGCATTGTGCTGGAGGGTCCCGACTGATTCCGTATGATATGCGGTCCACGTAGGGACCACGGACGCCGTCATATTTGAGGAAGTTCTCGCCGTCCAAGACTTGCTGGGAGATGAGGGAGTCGGAGAAGGTGTACGAGCTGCTTAGCGCAGTGGTTGCTGGGATGGACCATAGACAAACGAGTGCTGCACAGAGTCGTGCCATGACGATGACTGAGAGTGCAAGAGTAAGGAGGTTGCTTGCAGACTATTCCTTCAGAAGCCTGCATCAATGTGCCTGCACATTCCAAAGATTACGATAGAAGGAGTTGACTTCATCAGGTATGCTGATGCAGGTTGTGAAAAGGGGTCTGTCGGCGATTAAACGAAACGATCAGTGGAATGCTATATTCGACATCATTCGAATATGGACGAGTCTAGGAGCATCCCTTGCATGCTGCTTCGGGAAGAAATGCAAACCGTGCGGAGTCGATCGGTCAGTGACTTGAGCATGGCTTCGAACCTGATTATGAAGAGCTATACCCCGCATATGTCGAGGAGGCGAGGATACGAGAGAAGCAGATCATGGAACCGTCGGATCCAGGAAAAGTATCGCATAAGGGCTCCGCGCATCCGAAGTACCACTAACCCCCAAACAACCACCGAGATATCAATTCACCCGGGAGAAATAAGTGAAGAAAGAGAATTCCAATATATAGACACAATTAATGTACAGACAATGCAATAAAGCGCCTAACCAACCAGTTGGTCGTATCCCATAGCAAATGCGCGGTTTTCCCAATGTCGAGACCCAGTAGTAGTAGCCGTATACCCACAATACATCTATCCACGATTTGTTTACCACTGTCGCAAGGTCAGGCAGAGGTCATGCAAGTAATGCTAGCTCTTCCATCGGCTTCAGTTGATGTTCAATGCAAGCAAATCTCGTTCGAAGGTACGCTCATTCTCTCATGCTCTCGCAATCGTTCCCATCCATCTATTTCCCTTGGCGCTGCTTGTGCTTCGGGTTCTTGGAGCTATTGCAGAACAATATGTTAGCGATCATGCTATAGTGAGCTTTGCAGCTCGCATCAGTGTAGTCTTACCAGATAATGTAGACGCGGTTCTTTCTCCGCACAGGCTGCAGGTCCACTGTATTAGCCTCATTCCAACAAAGTACACACAAACCCCTATAAATGCCAAATTCTGCAACAATAGAGAAGAAAGCCGATTCAAATAGATTCAAGGCGTACCTTGCAGCCATCACACAACCGCTTCACCGATGAGCGAGTCTTCATTCCGCGGACCTGCTCTACTTGTCTCAATGTGGACCCCACACTAGCAACTCCGACATTGTTGGTCTGCTTTCCAGAGCGCAAAAGGCGAAGGCCATTGCCAAGGGAGAGGCGTGCGATTTGCGAGAAAGGGCGCGAAACGAGAGCGGCGGACCGGCGAGAGAAGGAGGGGAGAATTTGACGGAGGGCACCGGTCGAGGCCCCAAAGACGGAACGGAAAGACAGCATGGTGTCGGTTGGCGGATAGATAACAATTCTATAGCCGCCGAAAGTCTGCGAGAGAATGGAGGATCTCGAGGGAATCTAGACTCGAGACAGCTATATTGGCACCGCTCATCATCAGATGTTCGGAATCCCTTCGGAGCAAATGCTGGCCGGAGTTACTGTACCGCCGAGTTCCGATATCCGACCAATCATGTTTGGCTGCCACTATCCCGAAGCATTTACATATTAACCACACGCAAGACAAACGAACTTTACTTTTTTATGGCTGATATAGAGGAATATGGAGTGAGTATCATGCTTCATTAAAGTATATACGAAGAAAAGCCCCAAACTTAGGTACACAGATCGGTCTATCTTCCACATGCCCAATAGAACGCCTAAACATTTCAAACAAAATCCATCAACGGCCCACACTGTGTTTTCTAGAATTCTAATGTGATCAGGGAAAAGCAAATACAGTATCGGAATTCCTCTACCGCAAGAAGGTCTTGTAGGTAGGGGAGTCGGTATGTTCAGTGAAGGGATAAGCCAGGTCGCTGAGGAAAGCCTCCAGCTCTGCCTTCTCGTTCTCAGGACATTGGATACCCGCAAGCACCTTGCCAACATCACCTCCGTAGTTACGGTAGTGGAACAGAGAGATGTTCTGGTTGGGACGAAGGGTCGTCAAGAACTTGGCGAGAGCACCAGGACGTTCGGGGAACTCGAACATGAACAACCGTTCATCCGCGACCTCGCTGCGACCACCAACCAGGAAGCGCAAGTGCCTCTTCGCCAGCTCGTCATCACTGAGATCCTTCGTATCCATGCCGCCTCGTACCAATTGGCTGATAATCTTGGCCAAATCATCCCGGCCAGTAGCGGCGGACAAGGAGATGCCCATCAGAACATCGGCCGACGATTCACGGGCGTAACGGTAGCTGAACGCTGTGACCGCATGAGGAAGAACAACCTCAACGAGCTTCGCAAAAGCGCCCGGCTTCTCGGGGATCCTGACGCTCAGGAGCGCTTCCTTCCGCTCTCCCAGAGCCGCACGCTCAGCAACAAAGCGCAGGCGGTCGAAATCCATGTTTGCTCCGGAGGCGATAGCGCACAGCTCCCTGCTCGTGTCTGGGCTGGGGTTGTTTACGGCGTACTTCTTGAGACCGGCGAGAGCCAGAGCACCCGCCGGTTCAATGATAGACCGTGTGTCCTCGAATGCATCCTTGATGGCGGCGCACGTCTCATCGGTTGTGACCTGAACGACCTCGTCGATGACTTCACGCGCAAGTCGGTAGTTCTCCTCTCCGACAGACTTGACAGCAGCACCGTCTGCGAACAGTCCCACGTCCTTCAGGAACACTCTAGAACCCGTGTCGAGAGACTGAGCCATGGCATTGGCATCTTGGGCCTCAACGCCGATGATCTTCACGTGGGGTGCGATGCGCTTGAGGTAGACGCCAATGCCAGCAATTAGACCTCCTCCACCGACAGCACAAAAGACAGCCTCCAGCTTCTGCAAATTGGCCTGGCGCAATATCTCCATGCCAATGGTACCTTGTCCAGCGATCACGTAGGGGTCATCGAAGGGGGGGATCATGGTCAGTCCGTGTTGCTCCTGCAACCGGTATGCTTCTTGCTTTGCTGCGTCGAAATCGTCTCCGTGCAGGACCACGCTACCACCCAGGCGGGCGACATTCAGATGCTTGATAGCGGGGGTGCCCGATGGCATAACAATAGTCGCGGGGATCTTCAATTTCCGAGCGGAGTAAGCAACGCCCTGCGCATGGTTTCCTTTTCATTATGTCAGTCGACGAGTGCTACCATGACTAGTTCACACCGACGCCACCCACCTGCTGAGCACGCAATGACTCCCTTCCACCGTTGTTCGTGAGTCAAGTGCGCCATCTTGTTATAGGCTCCACGGAGCTTGAAACTGAACACGGGGAGAAGATCCTCTCTCTTCAGGAGCACACGGCACTCCAAGCGATTGCTGATGTTGACCGCATGGTGAAGCGGGGTTTCCTCGATAATGTCGTAGACACGGGACGTCAGGATCAACCGGAGATACTAAACACAAGAATGGCATGAGCAATTAGATAGAGGACATAAAAACTCGAGTGTAGACTCACGTCTGGTGTTCCATTGGGAAGCAGGAAGGCGTCAGGGATGCCATAATCGACTGTTGATCGCTCCTGGCCATCCACCTTGTCCGAAGTGGGAGACGGAGCAGCCGAACGCTCGTTCAGGGTCAGATTGTCCAACTTGGTAGAAACGGGGTACGGAACGCCGTTCTCAGTGACTTCGCCCGGCATTATGGCGTCTTGTTGGGTATATGTGAGAATTGAATGTGATAAGAACAAAGACAAAGGCCAGTGTCCGGCGGAAATCCTGAGTCAACCAAACGAAAAGTCCGGCGGTGGCACTAGATCCGTGTCACAGGGCGTATTCCGTGGGGAATTCCGTGATCGGAGCGGAAAAGTTTTATGTCATCAACCCTCAATTCCAGCCCTAAGCTGCAGGCCGGGAATAGTTCGAAAAATGGTTTATGTTGAGGAATAAGAAAAGACATGCAAAGAATTCAGGAGCATATTTGGGCATTGCAGGATCACAGTACTATATCGAGGTAGTATTCTCGCATTATTACCCCGAGTGTATTCCGCGGAAGCGGCAACAAACTGCCTACTCAATATTTTCTCAGACATTGCGGTCTTCATATACTTACCCCGTAATGCTGTTCATGGTTGAAGTGGGCCTGAAGGAATCCATGCACCACCACCAGAAAACACAGGGAAGTCTTTACGTACATGCTTCTTCCCAGCCAATGAGCTCAGATGTTATCCTATGACAGGCTTTGAGTCTCACAAGCTTGATGAACCATCCGTCAAGGTTAATAAAACTCCGGGTGCGCTTTTCCCAAAACTTTGCCTAATCAAGGAATAGGCAAAAGCAGAAATTATTCACATGATCCGCCATCGAAAGCGATGCTTTGACTTGATTTATTCAAGATCATCAGTGATAACTTAACTTGGTAATACGATGTTCAAGAACAGGTGTCTCGCGAAGCTACATTATCATCTCCATATCTGGAGGATCTGCGACTCTAAGTTTCTGCTTCATAAAGCTATTCTTGTCAGGGGAAAAGCACCTGAATACAGTGTAGAAAACTCGAGGCATAGCACAAACCGGTCATCTGTCCGAAGTATGGCCTGATAGAACAGTAAAGGAAGGTACAAGGCCTTACAGAGTCTCTATGTAACGTACCGTATCCAATAATACGAAAATTATCTCCTCCGTATGCTTGTTCCTTCCGACGTCATGTTGCCCGGGTGCACGCGCATCGCATTTACTTTTCTCTCGGACAGGACGCTACCTATCAATCAAGGTCGGCATTCATGTGCAGCTTTGGCTGCCTCCTCCATAATAATATTTCTGGCTAATGACTTGCAGATTTGATTAGCTCCTAGCTCCAGCGGCCCCAGCCTCTCCGTGCCCCTTCGCCGATCGCCACACTTGATAGCAGGTCACATTAATATTATAGCAAGATGAGCGAGCCTCTCCCGTCGTCTTTTGAAGAACATCCGTACGTATCTGCCTCCTTTCTAGGACATATTATAGACTGGTGGCTCAGCTAGTTCTAACACCTTGTTTGTGCAGTCAGTTCCAAGAGGAGACTTCGCTCCAAAAGTTCCGCAGACGTCTCAAGGAAGAGCCTCTGATCCCGCTAGGTGGGCATACCATTGAAGCTCAGACGCCACATATCTTCAACCCAGCTTAGCTAACTTACTTGAACCTAGGATGTGCTGCCACTTCCTACGCACTTTACCGGGCCTACCGGTCGATGAAGGCCGGCGACTCCGTCGAGATGAATAAGATGTTCCGTGCTCGTATCTACGCCCAATTCTTCACCCTTATCGCCGTGGTCGCCGGAGGAATGTACTATGGTAGCGAGCGGAAGCAACGGAGGGAGTTCGAGCAGATGGTGGAGGCACGCAAGAGCCAGGAAAAGCGGGACGCTTGGCTGCGCGAGTTGGAGATCCGTGATAAGGAAGACAGAGGCTGGCGGGAGCGTCATGCGGCTATTGAAGCCGCGGCAAACGAAGCTGCAAATGCTAAGTCTTTCCCTGAGCAGGATGCTGCTCGCTCTGCTATTGAGCCCTCCGAACAGAAGTCAATTGGGGTACTAAGTGCTGTGAAGGAGTTGTTGTCGAGGCAGTAAGGTTGCCAAAAAGAAGTGTTGTTGAGTTTCTTACTTGATTCTCATGTTGGTTTGGGTATCTATGATATTGTACATATATGCATTCGATTTTTGTCAGAATATCACTCTCCATCTCTTAACCCTTGATCTCATTTCTCTGGACCTTAGCCTGCATCCTGATTAGTGCTGATCCTGGCGAATTCCCCCCTTAACCGACAACCTGCTCGTCAATATACCGCCTCATCATATCGAACTCGGACTTTCCAGTCTATGTATAGTTAGGCTGCTTGTCCATGAAAGAACAATTGGGGAACTTACCGAGATAAGATATCGTATATGTTGCTATCCGTACTCGTCAGTCTGGTGCTATACCGTAAAGGCAAGGAAGCCATACCAAATCTGTAACGTTTCTATTACGCTCAAACTCCCCACGAGCATATCTGTGCAGTTCATCCTTGGTGGACGAGCTGGGTATTTCTGCGACTCTATCAGCATGGTGCATGATTGCTAGAAGTAGTATAGATAAGGACTGACTATTGAGCGCTCGCACAATCTCACGCCATAGAGAAATGACTCGTTGTCTTTGGATGAACTTCGGAGCATATCAGCGCATGAACGACTCAAGTAGCAATGGTTACACACATGATCGAGGCTAACGGTTGGCTTCCTGAGCTTCGAGGGCTGGCTGCGGGATACAGAAGCCAGAAGTCTCAGAGACGGTCGCATTTGGACGGGAATTATATAAAATGCTCCACTGGGTACCGACTGGGTAGCTAAGAAGTATCAATGCGGTACAGTTACTATAGGGATTGCTGGAAATAGTCAATGATTGCATCTATGATTGATGATCAATTAATGGTGGCGGAGAGGAAGGCGGTGATCTATTCTGCCACAATGTACTGGTATGAAATATTTCCGCACCGACAGTATTTCAATTACACAATTATGCCGTCTCTGTACCTGAAGGTCTAGAGCACGGCTTCACCAATTTTGATGGGTCCGAAGCCGGAAGAGACACACGCCTTCAGTGCACTTTCCGGGTGATAGATATAGCTTATCGGGAAGGACGTACAATTGCAGCACCTTTCAATACAACATCCCTCTAGACTCCTCAATTTTGACTATGATGAGAATCAAGCCAAAGATCATTGGCTGCAATGGCACCCGGGGAAAGCGGAGGCCAATCAATCCTAGTATAGCTCACGTGACTGCGTGCCTGTCTTCCCCGAACTTTTTTTCGGAGCCGCAGAAAAGATCGAGACGCTTGGGGACTCAAAGAGCGCCAACGTTTGATTGAGATTCGGTGTGCACGGAGATCATCATGAGGACTCCTACTCTTGCGCGGCTGCCATGCCGCGCTGTTTCCGGATTGACCAGATCTTCTCTCCGTCTTCAGTCCCAGAACTTCTTGACTCGGCGATGCGCTTCGACGGCTGCTCTCCGTTCACCTACTTTGGCTCCGGCTTATCAGTCTACCCTGAGCAAGCACTTCCAGCAGAGGAGGAACGCTTCTGCTACTGCTGCTGCTGTGTAAGCATCTACAACATCCTGTCTATCTTAATTGCTGCTCTTCTTTGAATACAGTTATCTTAATTTGACCCATTGCTGATCGTTGTTTTCAAATAAACATAGGCTTGAGGCTGCCGCTGCCAACCCCGACACCCTGTCGCAAGAGGCCATTATCGAAAACCTTGACCCCGTCGAAGCAGCACGTCTGTCCCGTGTTCGGAACATTGGTATTGCTGTAAGGATATTGCGGATAAGAGTTGCTTGGAATATTCACATCTAATGGTCATTCTAGGCACACATCGACAGTGGTAAGACCACATGTACCGAGCGTGTCCTTTTCTACACTGGACGTATCAAGGCTATTCACGAAGTCCGTGGTCGTGATGCCGTTGGTGCGAAGATGGATTCCATGGACCTGGAGCGTGAGAAGGGTATCACCATCCAGTCCGCCGCAACTTTCTGTGACTGGGTCAAGAAGGACGCCGAGGGCAAGGACCAGAAGTACCACCTTAACTTGATTGATACTCCGGGTCACATTGACTTCACCATCGAAGTCGAGAGAGCGCTGCGCGTTCTGGATGGTGCTGTCATGATTCTGTGTGCTGTTTCCGGTGTCCAATCCCAAACCATCACCGTTGACCGCCAGATGAGACGTTACAACGTTCCTAGAATTTCCTTCGTCAACAAGATGGACCGTATGGGTGCCAACCCCTTCAAGGCTGTTGACCAGATCAACAAGAAGCTTAAGATCCCCGCTGCCGCTGTTCAGGTGCCCATTGGTGCTGAGGACGAGTTCGAGGGTGTTGTCGATCTGCTTCGCATGAAGGCGATTTACAACCGTGGACCCAGTGGTGAGGAGCTTTTCGAGACCGATGAGATCCCCGAGAAGGTTAAGGCTGTGGCGGAGGAAAGAAGGCAGATGCTTATCGAGACCCTCGCCGACGTTGATGACGAAATTGCCGAAATCTTCCTCATGGAGGAAACGCCTACCGAGGACCAGATGAGACAGGCCATCCGTCGGGCAACCATCAACCTGAAGTTCACCCCTGTCTTCATGGGATCTGCACTGGCGAACAAGTCCGTGCAGCCTATGCTGGATGGTGTCATCGACTACCTTCCCAACCCCTCCGAAGTGCAGAACCTTGCTCTTGACAAGAAGCGCAACGAGGCTTCCGTGAAGCTCGTTCCCTACAACTCTCTGCCCATGGTCGGTCTTGCTTTCAAGCTGGAAGAGAGCAACTTCGGTCAGTTGACCTATATCCGTGTGTACCAAGGTACTCTCCGCAAGGGTTCCTTCGTCTACAATGCACGCAACGACAAGAAGGTCAAGATCCCTCGTATCGTTCGCATGCACTCTAACGAGATGGAGGACGTTACTGAGGTCGGAGCTGGTGAGATTTGTGCTGTGTTCGGTGTTGAGTGTGCCTCCGGTGACACCTTCACTGATGGACAGCTGGGCTACACCATGTCCTCCATGTTCGTTCCCGAACCCGTCATCTCCCTGTCCATCAAGCCTAAGAACAACAAGGATGGTGCCAACTTCTCCAAGGCTATGGCACGTTTCCAGAGAGAGGACCCGACATTCCGTGTCACCTTCGATGCGGAGAGTGAACAAACTCTTATCTCTGGTATGGGTGAACTGCACCTCGAAATTTACCTCGAGCGTATGCGCCGTGAATACCGCGTCGATTGTGAGACTGGCCCGCCTCAGGTTGCCTACCGTGAGACCCTTGGCGAGCGTGTTGAGTTCGACCACCTGCTGAAGAAGCAATCTGGTGGTCCTGGTGACTACGCCCGTGTCGTTGGTTGGATGGAGCCGACGGGTAGCCTTGGCGAGAACGTGTTCGAGGAACAGATTGTTGGTGGAAGTATCTCGGAGAAGTTCCTCTTCGCTTGTGAGAAGGGATTCCACCTCTCTTGTGATAAGGGTCCTCTGATTGGACACAAGGTCCTTGGTACCAAGATGGTCATCAACGATGGTGCTACCCACATGACTGATTCGTCTGAAATGGCCTTCAAGAACGCCACCCAGCAGGCTTTCCGTAAGGCTTTCAAGGAGAGTAACCCTGCCGTCCTCGAGCCCATCATGAAGACTGTCGTGACGGCCCCATCTGAGTTCCAGGGTGACGTTATCGCTCTCTTGAACAAGCGTAATGCTACTATCAACGACTCTGAGGTCGGTGTTGATGAGTTCACCGTGTATGCGGACTGCAGTCTGAACGGCATGTTCGGTATCAGTTCCCACCTGCGTGCGGCTACCCAGGGTAAGGGTGAATACACCATGGAGTTCAGCCACTACGAGAGGGCACCTCCCCACCTCCAGTAAGTTACCGTATCCCCGCATATATCATTAAGCCGATACTAATAGGAATCCACTTATAGGAAGGACCTCATCGCCAAGTACCAGAAGGCCCAGGCCGACAGACACAAGAAATAAACCTGTCGCAACCCCGTGGCTTGATGCTTGGAACACCTTTGCGGAGGTAAACCCACCTCCTGAAGCTACCCTACACCAGTGATGCAGTTCAAAAGTATACCCATTACGTCTCCTTTCGGGGTCCTTGAGCCTGCAATCCCCCACCCGCGCTCTATCCTCCCTCCTACCTCTTCCCTTCTCGGCGTGTATTCCCTACGAAGACGATGTTCTCATTATGTTTAGATAATTTGGCGCCATGTATTATTTATAAAACAATCTAGACGGGCCCTGTGGGCGTCGGAAAACCTCTCAGTCAGTGCCATGGGGCCGGGTTGGTAGGGTACCCGGCCGTCCATCCCCGAGACAGCTCATCTCGGTTTCAGACTGTACATATTTGACCTGAAGGTCGTTATATCTCCTCTCATATATTAAAATTTTAAGCATATACTGGGCTATAAAGCAATTCCTGGGTGGTGAATAGGACGTAGTTTAACATAGTTCAAGTTCAGGTAACCTATTAGTACTCCCATAGAACTGAAAGTCTCAACTAAATATGTCAGACACTGCCTTTCTTACCCCACGTCCAATGCAAGTCTCCAAATGACCTCATGGTGTCGAATTATGTCTTATGTGCCTTGCTCGCCTTTACTGCACTACTTTATGGCCTTCTCCGAACCACAGGCACTCATCTAACGTGTATATATCCCAAACCAAGCACCAACATACCTACCTCATACAAACACGAGACTCACACCCACATGCAAATGACTCACAGTACCTCTATAGAACACAGCCACAAGCTCTAGAACAACAGACAGTGAATACAGACTCTTCAGTCGCGTCAACGCGTCCCCAACCCCCCTCTTGATTGGCCTGCCTTATAAGTGGATTTTCGCGATTCCTTTTACATCTCGCTCATTTCCAGGTTTCTATTGGCTACCAGAATTCGAGGCTACAACTGCCATGTGAAAGCCCTAGTCTGCATTTAGCCTGTAATATCTAATGATAGTCTATGTGGGGTTGACGGCGAGATATGGTGGCATGAGATTCACTTCTCAAAGGCCCTCATCACTGAAAGAGCGGCGACGGAGAAGGTTGCGACGCGGTTGTGGCCTTGTCATTCATTGTTAGTTTTTATGCCAAGTATTATGTGTTGGGTTGGGTTCTATATCGACGTACCGCCATGGCTAACACGCTCCCATCTGACGCGCTTAACGACCGCGTTGTCCTTCGTCGACTGGTTTTCCCAGATTTGCACTTCGTTCGGTCCGTTCGAGTCCTTCCGTTCGTGGACTATCCTGCCAGGGCCACCGGGGATGTCCTCGCCCGTGGCGGCGATCCAGACGCGCCGGCCCTCCTGCCAGGGGATCTCGACGTCGTTTGCTGCGTGGATGATGAAGAGGTCGAGACCCTTGTTCGCGTAAGCGGGGTTAGGGTCGTCTTTCGTAATGTTGGTGTTTACTCCCGACAAACGTGCGACTCTAGCGGCGGTGTCCCAGCGATCGACGATGTGGCTCTTTGCCCAGTTGTGTGCCCGAGGGTAGTTGGTTAGCAAGGAGAGCATTGGAGGTGTGATTCCCTTCAGACTGTAGGAATCGATCAGACTTGGCACGTTGCTGAAGGATGCTAGCAGGATAACGCCGGCGAAGGGTTCCGGGTCCTTGAGTGCTGGCTGGATAGCGGTGGGGTTTGGGGAGCCGAATGCAAAGCGCTCTGCCACGGCTGCGCTTACGGCTGTTCCTAGGCTCTGGCCCATGATAACGATGCGTGATGGGGAGATGTTCAGTGGGCCGAAGGTGAGGTAGTTGAGCAAGGATACTCCGTCTGTGATTAGACCCTCTTCTGTGGGAGTGCCGGTTGAGAGGCCGAACCCGCGGTAGTCAATGGCAAAGACATGAACGGGGTTCTGGGGTGTTGAGAGACCCAGGACTTGTCGATAGATGTCGGGTCGCTGGGCGGATGCGAGGTGGGCGGCGTTGCCGTGGACTGGTGTAGAATATTAGCCGCTGTATTTAGAGTGCGATGGTGTTTACTTACAGCTGACTACTACCCTGGCATTCGGATCATTCTTAAGGAGCTTGAATGCAGTGGTTTTGGTGTAGTCGTCTGCTGGTCCGTCGGGTTCGTTTGCATTCAGCTCCTCTTCGTGCTCGTGACACAGTTGCAGGGGCAGGAGATGCCATCCGTAGAGTGTCTCGTTATCGGGAGTCACGAGGTTAAATGGCTGGACCTGCGTTTCTTTCGTTGTAGTTAATGAGCTTGTCCTTCGAGGATGATCTGGTCGGTGACCTGTAGACTGGAACAGTATAACATACTGAGAAAGCCGAATGATTCGACCAGATTGACGTCCTGCCACGCAGTGGGATTAATTTTATTGACGTAGAGGGCACTGATACAAGTAGGCAACAGGTCAACCAATGTGCTCGTCTCGAATAGTGATTCGAGCATATAACGAAACAACGTACAATCTTTGGACTACGGGATACGTCATGGCACAGACGAATATGGCATAGAAGATTCCACCGGCTGCCAGGGCCCAGTAGGCCTTCTTGAAGATGGGTTGAAGCTCAACCATGGTGGCTATGAGCCTACATTCAACAGTACACAGTTTAGCCGATATGAAAGTAGAAATAAAGCGAACTGCGAGTCGAGATGTCTCGGGAGCCCTTACTTTGAACCCGCCGTGTGCTCCGTATACCAATTGTGACAAGCAAACCTGAAGGTGCGACCTCTCAATAGGCTCTAATCAAGACAGCAAATATATTCTAGAATATTCACACCTGAATGCCACCAATGCGACCTGGCTAGACGCAGGAACGGTGAATAAGCAAAGGATGCGGAGGATTAAACCGGGGATGCTGAGGCTCGGCGGTGGAACTGCCCGATCCAGCTTCTGCCTCCAACTTCACTTTCTCCGCCGCCTTTTTTCCTCCTCCTCCGCAACTCTCATCCCTTCCCATCATACCAGTCAATCCCGGAGGCTGCGAGATGTCCGCTGCTTCAATCAGCTGGCTTCCTGATTGGCGTGTAACTGCCCGTCAATAATTCTCTACATCTCAGCATGGCCGAAAAACGCAAACTCCCCGCCCGCGAACGTCGCGAACCCGCGGCGAAGCGACGAGCCTCCGAAGCTCCGTCTCGACCATCCCCTCAACCTCAACAGTCGAAGAAGAAGGGGTCTACACCGGTCGTCGCCCCTTCTCCCCCTCCTCCGCCACCACCGGAACCTACCGAACCCCCTTTGCCTACAAAGATAAAGGATGGAGAGCCTCTTCCGACTACGGCCGCGCCGCAACCAACTACTCTTACGGATAAAGAGTACCAGTCGTATGCAGAAAGGTATGTGTGCCCTCCTAACTACACGCGCAGAAGCGCATATTGTGTATGTCAAGGCTTTCGGTCGCTGACCAGTAACAGTGCGATTCTGTTAGCTTCCCTGGAACGATCGAAGAAGAAATGGCTAAGCGACGGCATTTTGGAGAGATACTGGACCAAGCCCAAGAAGACCAAGAGGGAGCAGATTGAAGGAAAGAATCCGCCCAAGGAAACCATGTCAAAGGTTGGAGCTTGCAACATCGTTGTCGGACCTCATCTGTTCGACGCGATGCTGTACACTGTCAAAGATCCCAACGCGCCGCCGCCGATCCAATACACCACCCCTCAACGCCCGATGGTTCATTATGGACACCCAAACAACTTTCAACAATACCACCCCTATCCTCACTCCCCTGCTCCGCCCCAACATGCACGGCAACATCCACCACAAGGTTCTCCGGCGACTCCTGGAACACCCCAACCTGGCTACACTCCCGGAAACCACCCACCCCCTTCACATCCTGCTCGGACTCCAAGTCAGCCACCCCACCGTCCCCCTGGCCCTCAATCTGCGCAAAGACCATCGCCTTCTCAGCACCCTCAGACTGCCCAACCGCCGAAGCCTAGCCCAGATCCCGTCATTCAGATGCTTGCAACACGAGCTGCGTCCGATCCTGAGCTCAAAGCGTTGATGCGCGTCGTGGCCTCGAGCAAAGCATCTCAAGAGCAACTCCGCGCTTTCCAAGCTCATATTGACGAACTGAACGCCATCATTCGCGCAAGGGAACAGCAGCAACAACGGCTACAGCAGCAGCAGCAGCGCCAGGTTCAGCCTTCCACTCCTTCTCATCCTCCCCCGCGTCCGTCACAAACTCCTATACAACACCCCCAGCCCCAGCAAACGCCGCAACCTTCGCAACCTTCGCAACAACCCCCCTCTGCACAAAAGCCTCCCCCGCAGCCAGCTCAGCAAACCCCCCAGCAACCCCCGCAGCAGAAACCCCAGCAAACCCCTCAGCAAACTCCCCAAGGGCAGTCGCAACCACAGCCCACGCCGCGTGTTGAGGTGCAAGTCCCGAAACCATCACCGTCTCCCGCCCCTGCCCACCCTCCTCCGAACTCGAACGTCCCACAGCCGCCACAAACGCCTACTCCACAGGCTCCTAAGCCAGCCCCTCAGGTTGTAATTAAGCAAGAACCTGGCGTGGCGGCGTCAGGTCAGCCCCCGTCTCAGCCGGTATCGGGTCCTAGTGTGGCGCCAGCTCCAACCTCTACCCCGGATCCGCAAAAGCAGGCAAGCCCTGCTGTACGACCCATGCCGCCTCCCCAGCAGCAACCAACGCCGCGGCCAGGACCTCCACACCCACCCTATCAACAGCCTCCGTATCAGAGCCATCCACCTGCCATACAATCTCGGCCTCCGCAGTATGGGTCGCCAGCGCCATATTATCGCCCAGCTCCACCACCGCCCCCTCCGAGACAGAACTACAAGTCGGTGGTCTTTGAATTTACGTCACCGCTGACCCCCTATGGAAGCAGCACATCCGGACATGCAGGCTCTGGTGATCGATACCTATTTCCTGAGTACACAATTCTGGAATGGCTCCCTGGAGGAAACACTGTTCTTGCCTCATTCCTACTTGTGAGGAAGGTTGATCCAAACGCAACGTTTCCCTTAGAATCAGCTACTGAGACGGCCAACCCCCGGGCTAAAGGCAAGGCATCCAAGTCCAAGTCGAAGAAAGCAGACAAGAACAAGGAGAAAGCGAGCGAGGCGGACAAGGATAAGGGGAAAGCAGACGACAAAGAAAAAGACAAGCCACAGGAGAAATCCAATGATAAACCTGAAACTTCTGGCACCGAACCTAAACCTGATGGTGATAAGGCACCAGCCAGCAGCACACAAGCTGACCAGAAGGCTGAAGCATCCGAAACTCCTAATAAACCCTCCACAGACAAGGATGACTCTAAAGACAAAAAGGTCGATAGCAAGGACAAGGACAAGGAAAAGGAGAACAAGGAGAAAGAGAAGGACAAAGACTCCAATTTGAAGGAATACTACCAACCCGTGACATTCCGCATCTTCACCAACAACCCCAAAGTCCTCGAGCCTCTAGGCCGTGTCGTGAAGCCTCCGGACGAAGTCCGCAAATACATGAACGAGATCATGGACCGAGCGGAACGGGCTCCCGAGGGATTCCTGGCCTACCGTCTGCCCCGAGAAGAGCCCGACGATAACAAGCAGGCCCCTGAGACAGAAGATAGCGGCAAGAAAACCGGAACTCCGGTGCCAGCTGCGCGTGGGAGGTTGCAGTCTCGGAGTAAGACGGTGGACGAGGAATCGGATGTGGAGAATATCGAGGGAGCTGTAGAGGAGGAAGAGGAAGAGGAACTCAAGGATTTCTATGGTCCGCCTACGGGACTTCCGCCTATGGGGGCGTGATTATTGATAGACTGGTTTCACAGTATATAGGTTTGAGCACCTAGACTATGTATGAGTAATGCATTCTGTGTATGTTTGAATATCGTGACGGATTCCTACCCCTAAGGCTACCATCTTTCCCACTCCACTACCAAAATATCGTGCTTACCCCATCTACGACTCCTACTGCGCTATGCAATTAGACCTATAAGTTGACTCACTTCCACACAGAACTAATCTAAACGATAAGGAAACATTTACTTCCAAGAACTAGGCCGATCCCTTATGACTCAACCAATCTAAAATAAACTAACTAGTTAGGTCAACTGCAGGGATGTTTCTGCGTCAGCTTACCCCTAGACTAACCCTCAGATAAGATGTCACCATCCACCGCTCCCATTAGCCACAATAAGAACTATAATAGTCCCAAACCCCATCATCCCACACCCATCCAGCACAACTGTAACAGAAATCCAAAATGTCCACCGACCTCTCCACCACCGCCGCCTCCATCGCGCGCCTCTCCCTCCACGACCCCAACAACTTCCACATCCAACACTCGCAAACCCTCCACCGACTAACCCTCCTCCAGCACTGGGCCATCCCCACAGACTCCAAACTCCTCGAGTTAGGATGCGGCCAAGGCGACTGCACGACCGTCCTCGCCTCCGCCGTAGGCGAGCAAGGCAGCGTAGTAGCAGTTGACCCAGCAGATCTTGATTACGGTTGAGCCCACTTCCCCTCCTCCTTCTACTCTACTAACATCACCTAGGATCCCCCTACACCCTCTCCCAAGCCCAATCCCACATCACCCAATCCCCACTAGGGCACCGCATAACCTGGATCCAACAATCCCCACAGGATTACCTCTCCACCCTACCCCCGACATTCGACGCTGCAATCCTCGCCCACAGTCTCTGGTACTTCTCCTCTCCGGCAATTATCCTGTCTACGTTCCGCGCCGTCAGGCAGCACAGTAAACGGCTCTTGCTGGCTGAGTGGGGACTAGTAGCCACGCACCCGTCCGCGCAGCCGCATGTGCTCGCTGCGCTGGCGCAGGCGGCGCTGGAGTGTCGGAAACCTGGGGAGAGTAGTGACTCGAATGTGCGGACGGTGTTGGGGCCGAAGAGGATTAGGGAGTTGGCGGTGGAGGCGGGGTGGGAGGTTGAGAGGGAGGAGTATGTACAGACTGGGGAGGGGTTGTTGGATGGGAGGTGGGAGGTTGCGGCTGTTCTTGATGGGGGGTTTGAGGAGGAGGTGAGGAGGGTTGTGAGGGATGAGAGGGAGAGGGCGGTGGTGTTGGCGGCGAGGGATGCGTGTGAGGTGAGTGTTGGGGGTGTGGAGCGGGTGAGGAGTATGGATGTTTGGGTTGCTAGTTTTGTTTGATGATGGGTGGATGGATGGATTGATTGATTGGTTGGTAAGAAGGGTGAAGGATGATGAAGTCAATTGCGAACTAGTACTGTTATTACTATCTTATCAGGTCCAGGGTTTGGGTTTTTCAAAGGTATATGGTTAGACACTCCCTCCTGCACGTCGTCCTGCACCGTCTCCGATTAACCCTGCGGTTTCCAGTAACCATCTGGCGCTTTCCTCTGCGGCACTGCCTCCTGTCTTCAGGTTCACGTTGCGCCGCCGTTCAGCCTCCCGAGCTTCAAAGTCCCATTTTGCCTGCTGTAACTCAACGGCGCTTTTTCCGCCCTCTGCGGACGTGGTTGTGGGGTCGGGCACCAGACCCCAGACTTCTAGGTTGTAGATCTCAATGGTAATTTTGACGGTGGTATCTGGGGTAGAGCCTGGGGGTGGGGGCAGGAAGACGCCGTTGCGGACGACGGGAGAGACGTAGAATTGTGCAGTCTCGAGGCTGACGTCGATGGTTAAGCTGCCTGCCCCGTGCGGAGTGGGGGGCTTTTTATTGCTGCGCGATGAAGGGGGAATCTGGCAGCCTATTGATATACCCGAGCTGGTGGAGAAGTAGGCGGCTGGGGTATTTGATTGTTGTTGGATGGATGAGGAGGGGTTCCCTTGCAGAAGCATGTGTTTTGGCGAGAGCTCGAAGAGGCATGGGAGGACGGAGTTGGAGAACTTGGAGCTGGTCTGGGAGGAGGTTGGCGATTTCCATGGCTGTGGTAGGTAGGCGCCAATGGTCACCATTTCGCCGCTTGGATTGGTTCCCTCGAGCACGAGAAGAGTGCCCGAGGACCATGTGAGCACGTGGTGCGAGAATGAGGTCAAAGAGGAGCCATGCGCCACGGTTGAGAAGACTGGGTGCAGGCGCACATTGCCGCGGAGGAAGTTTAGGCTTTCCGAGGATGAGGGAAGGAAGAACGACAGATGTGAGATGACACTCGGGTTAAGAATCACGGATTCAAAGCTACCCGGGAGCGTAATCGTTGTGGGTGAAGGCAGATCATCTTCTGTAGCTTCTTCGATAGGCTCTGATGCCGCAGAATCGGCCGCAGAATCGGCCCTGTTGCGTTTTTGGGATAGGTTCAGATTTCTGCTGAAAAGGAGATGCTCGAACAGCGGTGTCAGAGGATCGAAAAGATACGGAAATGAAGATGTCACGGTCCGAGCAAACTCCTTATAACCTATTCCGCCAGAAGGCTCATGGTTGAATGCTGCCATGATGCTATCGGCCTCCGATCGAACTGCTCCCATGCGCTCTTCGCTTAGATCGGATGTGTATGTTTTTACGGGCTCAAGAGGCTTTAAGGGCGAAATAACTATTAGAAGCATCAAGAGGCGACGGAGCGTATCAGCAGATATCCGAGCTTCGTAGACAGCCTTGTCCATGCGCGAGTCGTGCTTAAAGACCTCGATGGCATCCAAGGATTCCAGAGCAGCTAGTGCTAGGTCATCGTCTTCCTCGTCCTCATATTCATCGTTTGCCGGCTCATCGATGGCAAACCCTGGGACATGAGAGCTCGGCGCAGGTGCATCAGCATCCTCGCGGACTTCTTCACCATTGTTCTGCTGCTCAACACTCTTTCTTCCAACATCAGCAAGGCTTCCGAAAAGCAGTCGTATCCTATCCCTGCGCGCACGTCTAAGAACTTTCCCGTATCGTTCAGTCAGCAAAACAACGACTTTCACCATAGCCTCAAATGTTAGCACACTTGGAGCAAGAGTGTTTTGGAAAGGAAATGCCCCAAGGTACGAGACCATGCGGAAGATCACAGGGCCCGCATCCAGAGGACATTGGGATTCACTGCTATCCGGAATCCCTAGGAAATCCGAGAGAGTCTTCTCATTCCAATACTTCAGGCCGCCTTGATCAATGGCACGGGAGAAGAAGTTGTCTTTGAGATGGGTCAACTCCAAGGGAGTGAAGCATTTAGTTGCAAACCGTTCAGCAAGCACGTAGCTCAGCTCCTCTAAGGTCTTGTCAGAGACAGGATTGCTCTTCTCTGAAGAGCCATCTTTATCGTGCGATGCGATATTATGACTCCATTACGAAAGATGGCAGCGAACTACTAACCTGGCGAGGACGCCGGCCCCCCATACTCAGTCGACTGGCCCACTCCCATCTTGTCTTAGAGTGGTCTAAGAGCTGACAAGATAATCGGTAACACCTGAGCAAGATGGTGCCATGTGCGATCCAAGGTATAGCTACCAATCAGCGGAGTAGTCGTGGAGAGTAGAGGACACGTTCATCTAGCTTAATCAGTAGTCATTCTAAAGCCTGGATGCCGCGTAGTGATGACGACGTAAACCCACTTCAGGTATACGACTGACGATCAATGTGCATCAACTACTGGAAAGGACCCCGGCACTCAAGGGAACCAGATGAGCCGGAATGGCAAGAAGGACTGAAGTAATCCATCAACAAGCGAGAAGGCAAGAAATAAGGTACACGACTTGTTGATGGTCAGGAGAGGAACAAAGTCGGGGGGATGCTTGGTTAATGACGGGATGGCGAGTCCCGCATGCGGCAGCCTTGGCACCTGAGGCATGACACAAGTGGGTCGGACGGCTAGTCTACTTTCGGTGCAGATCCAGGCACCCATCGGCTGCTAGTATCGCTAGGGATATACAGAGCTTTTAACATCATTTATATTCATGATAGAAGTATCCACAGTTTCATCCTCAAATGCCGCCACTAATTGCGACAGAGATTGCGGAAGAACGTTTCATATGTGTCAAGAATGCAACAGAGTGCCAGACCCTACAGCATAACGATACCAACACCGCCCATCTTCTTCTCATCGGGAAGGTTCTTATCGTTGACACCTCCAGGGACCGGAGCCGTCCGATAATTGTACAGATAGTAGTGAAGCTGGCCATCACCTGCACCGAATTTGAGCTGCTCCAGGAACAGAGGGTTGTCGTGCAGGGTCAGTGCGTTGAATACATCGAATTTAGCCTAAGAATTGATTAGTTTGGTTCAGAGGACAAAGCCCACATGAAGGGGAATTCATAATATCATACCTTCTTCGCGAGAACCAGAGCATCATTCATCAGCATGAGCAGTCTCTCCTTAAGAGCCTTCTGATCCTGGGTAAAGGCAGTTTCCGTGCCATAGTAGTACAGGTAAGCGGCGCGGACGTTGTCGTGCTTGGGGTGCTGGATTACAGTCGACTCAAGGTTGTAGAAAGAGACAAAGTCGGTGATCTTGTGGGTTTCGGCATCTTCGACCACGTAAGACCATACAACCTGGTCCTTTCCGGCCTCTTCCTTGTGCAACAACCAATGCTCGACTTCCTCGCGGGTGAAGGCCTGGTTCAAGGCAAACCGCTTGGAATACCGCTCCAGCAAATCCTGAACAGCGTCCACATCCTTGGCCTCCATAACGCGCAAGCCAGGGGTTGCTGTGGTGCTGGGAAGGTGGTTCCTGGTGATCTGGCGTGCTTTGGTGGAGCCACGGGGGAGGTGGGAGAAGCCGATTTCGTAGAGCTTCAGCCAGTCCAATGGGCGGTGGTAGTACCGGCAAGAGCTGACAGGCGTCGGCAGAACAACACCCGCAGTGTAAACGGCTTGGTAGATACCGCTAAGATAGCAGCGACGGGTGATCTCCTTAA